CTGAAAAACAAAAGTGCCTATATGAAACAGATCTGTGCTGCATATCTAGCATGGCTGTTGGACAATACCACTGTCTGTTCTCTTATGTTCTCTCTTATGATTCGAGGCATTATGAATGAAGCCCCGCGCTGGGAATAAGCACCGCTAGCGATATGGGTCAGATAAGTACCGCGCACAGCATACCACCTTCGGAAGCGTTTCAAAATGATTTATGGGTGTGTAGAGCAAACATAAGGGGGGGAAATTGTCCAGCTTTTCATCATGGTTCACGGCTAAGAGCTCCTCAGATCTCCATGATGTACTCCCACTCCAGAAAAGGCCTTATTTCATGTATTGATCGCAAATGAGGTCTGAGGCTCTGAGTGTGCTTCCGCTGCAGGCACTGGCTTCATACAACCAAGGTCAAGGCTATTGTGTTTCATTGTACACTATTGAATTTCAAATACAAAGTCATTCACTATCAAATGAAATGCTACAGATTTTATCATTCTCCTGGATGTTCTTGAAGGATGATGGATTTTCTTTCATATATATGTATTTTTTTTTTACCTAATAATAATAATAATAATAATTATAATTATAATTATTTTATCATTATTAATTTTTTTATTTAATAAATAACAAACATCAACTTACATAACATACATTACATACACACAATTAATTTTTATTTTTTCTGTTTTATTTTACATATGTTGACAATGTAACTACTGTTGTTCCACAATACAGCTTTAATCTTACTCTATAAAGACAAGCAGGTGATGCTCCCAGGCCAAGTTACAGGTCAAATCTACAGAGATGTGGATGCATGTTTTTTTTTTTTTTTTTTTTTTTTTTTTATCATGACAATTGCAAGTTACTAATAGACCCACCCAGCAGAAAAGTTACATGATGCGTCTTTAAGCATGTTTGGATGATGATTTGTCAATTTTGTAAAAAGGGGAAAAGAGCAGAGCCTTTGTCTAACAGGAAGATGATAGTGCACTTGACTTTGAGTGTGATTCGTGCTTAGCTCTGCACTGCCATCACAATTTTATCACCGCATTTAGCCAGAGAAAAAAATGTGTAAAGGCAGATAGCAGTGATGAATTATTGTCAAATACATTCGCGGACATCTGAAGGTTTCCTCAGACATCTTGATCAATGAAGCCTTTTCATCCATCCCCCGAGAGAACAGGAAGTCACTGACCATCTCCTACTTATGTGCAACACCCCCTCTACCTTAAGCGTCTGTTTGATCTGAAAGTGCGTATGAGAGGGTTTCATGTTTTCCTAATTGGTTTGGTGGCATTTTATCAGTTGAAGGTCATATATTACGCACATTTTGCTTTTATGAGCTTTAAGCCATGTTGAAATGTTGAAACATGAGACGTGTTTCAGTCACACGTTTAACTAATGCTTTATGATTCATCTGTCTACATCTCCAAAGCTCAAAATGCTCTCTTCCACCTTGTGATGAGACGAAGCAGTAGTTTTTAAGTTACCAGCTCCTTGTTACCTTCAGTTCAGACACCTGAAATTCGAGGGCTAAAATCATCCATATAATTAAAGGTGTATGGAGTTTAAAAACATCTACGACATGATATCACAAGGTCGAATAGGGTATTTTGTTATATTTTGTGGGAACAGAGCCTAAATATTCCAGATTTGTGTGTTAAACATGTGTGAATGAAACAAAACACAACTCCAGATAAGTTTTCGATGAAGAAACAACATTATAACATAGATGAGAAAACAGCGCAATATGAGACCTTTAAATGTCACTTTGTACCAAAAAGAAAAGAATTCCATTTAAAATGCAAGGTGCACATTTATTTGATAGTTTAAATTTTCATTAAACAATTCAATTCAGTTCCTTTATTGTCATTGTCATATAAAATAACAGCAGGGGTGTCCAAACTTTTCCCATCAAGGGCTATATAAACACAGACGAAGCAGAGGGCCGATCGAGGGCCATAGACTGGTGCACAATTGGTAATTGATGATTGAAATATGTGCATGTTTAAGACGAAGAGCCATCAGTCCTTTTTTCACATTAAGATTCTCAAAACCACACACTAAATATTAAATATTGGCTTTATCAAGGTAGATTTCCAAAAATCTTTGTTTATTATTATTTTATTTTTTAATTGATGCAAGGTCATTTGGGCCAATTCTCCTGGAAGACTGAGGGCCAAGAAACATTTGTGTGAGGGCCACATTTGACCCACAGACCATAGTTTGGCCATGCCTGATCTGATATTATTTCTAGCACTGTATTCTAATGTTTACATAGTGGGTGTGATGTTTACATGGTGGGTGTCAAAGGGTGGGTGCTCTACACTATTATGCACTTTTAAAACACTATGCAGTTTGTGTGATGCTCTAACGCAGGCATGGACAATTCTCCTGGAAGCCTGAGGGCCAAGAAACATTTGTGTGAGGGCCACATTTGGCCCACAGACCATAGTTTGGCCATGCCTGCATTAGAGCATCACACAAACTGCATAGTGTTTTAAAAGTGCATAATAGTGTAGAGCACCCACCCTATCACACCCACTATGTAAACATTAGAATACAGTGCTAGAAATAATATCAGAGCAGCAGCAAAGGGGAATATCAACAAATCACAACAAAAGAACTTCATTAACCAATCTAATTTGTATTAATTGATTTTATTAGTCAATTATAGCTATTGTGCATTGTTATTTATACAGCTTTTGACCCTTGTTAACAGTACACTACGCTAAAAGTTATCGAATTACCTCAACATTTGTCATATCTCCAGGAAGTACATTTATGAATTTTACCAAATAAATAAATAAATAAAATTAGGCAAGACTCTTAGTAAAAATGTAAATACATTTATTTTAACTATGTTTTAGTGAAATTAATTGTCTAACCTGTCATATGCACTTAAATAAGCATAACTACTGCAACGGTGTCCCAGATTGCAGATCCCGCGTCTACCTGATTTTTCCTTATCTTTTTTGTGCCAGCGTTTAGTGACAATTATTTGACAAAAACATCTGATGACAGACAGTAGCATCTGGCTCTGGCTCCGCTCAGCAAATCACACGGCACAATTACACTCAAGCATGAATAATATCTGTGACAATAAGAGGTTTCATCCCTATTTCTTACACTTTTGACAACATGCAGCGGTTATTTTCTAATCTCACCCCAAAAATATGATTGTGCATTCATAGTACTTTTCATTGACGCTTTGAAGAGTGCTGCAATGAGCCATCATGCATAAAACATAAACTGGCTTTTGAACCAAGCCTAGTAATATTTAAAATCTTCTCTTTCACTTCAACTGACTGTACTTCTTCCAACCTGCACCAGTCTTTTGCATTGTCAGTAATTAAAATCACTTTTGTTTTGCCTCAGGGAGAAGGAAGCGAGACGGCATGAAAAATCCGCTAGCAAGAATGTACCCAAGATATATCCTGTCGAGATAAGGCTGGCCTTTTTGTGGTTCTTGTATTCAAAAACACACAATGCTCGTAGAGACAATTCTTGCTCTAGGTGTAGTTTTCTCTCCTCCTGAGGTGCTTCTTGAAATCCTAAAAATGAACATGTGCTTAGCTGGGTGTCTTCAGAGAGCGTTTGAAAATCAAGGAATGCACCACGTCGTACTACAAGAATACCTGGGCCAACCTGGGTCACACAGTGTTATCAAATCAGGCTGTTAGAAAAGCAAAAGTTAAGTTCATAACTAGGATTTCTTCATTATTTTATTGTTTTCATAAAGAACTTTGCAATTGCCAGAAAGCCTCAAATATGAAGTGATAAGCTAAAAATAAGCGCATATTTTTTCTGATGAGGTCTAGACTAGAGAGTAACTTTACATCAGAGGTGGGGGCTTGCAACTCATGACTTCAGCTCGAGTCAGACTTGAGTCACTATTTTTAGCTCTTGAGACTTTACTTGATAAAATGGACTAAAACTTGGGACTCGACTTGGACTTGAAGGTCAATGACATGGGACTTAACTTGGACTTGAGGCCTGTGAATTGAGAAGACTTGAGAAGCACTTTTAAATCTGAATTCTTTCTATTCTGACTGTAATAATTCTCTCTAAGATCTTGTCAAGACACTTAAAAAGGAAAAAAATAGCATTTCCACAACTCTTATATACTCATATATAAATATACTATGACTTTATAAGTACAATTTCTCTTTAAATGCATATAAATTGCAAAAATCTAAGTTATATTTGGTATTTTGGTTTAAAGACTTGAAATGACTTGAAGCTCAAAGCAAACGACTTGGACTTGACTTGGACTTATGGCCCAGTGACTTGAGACTTGACTTGGACTTGCCTGTATTTGACTTGGGACTTGAGGTTAAAGACTTGAGACTTACTTGAGACTTGGTCCCACCTTTGCTTTGCTTAATATGACATGATATTATATTTTGTTGTTTCCGAGTCTTTTGTATGCGCTTAATGCGACCATTCAAACTGCAATTTAGATTTGATTGCAATAAATCTTGTAGCGCTTCTTAGTTTAGTTTTCAATTTCACAGTTATTTGCTGGGCTAGTGGGCTAAAAAGTTGGCCAAACTAAACTAATTAGTCAGCGCTTTATGTTGGTTCTTGCACAGAATCTACCTTAATGTTCTTGGACACGTTAATGAGAATACAGCTATTTTCTGTTCTTTTCTACAACAATTACATTTGCTCATTAGATAGTGCTTATTTAAGGAGCTGAGTTTGTATGTAACTTTTCTGGTGAGGGGTGTTTTACTGCTTAGAAATATCTTGAAAAACTTTGCCTGATAGTGTCTTCCTGTAATTTGGTTAATTCCAGACAAAGTACTAACATCTGAATGAAGACAAGCAGGTGGCAGACCCTCCACCAGAAAGTTACATAGTGCACCTTTAATATCCTTCTGAAACCTCTCTCTCCTCTGGCTCCGACGCCTGAACCCAGATGCGACATATGAGGCGTCTGATGGTTAATTCTCAGTCACAGCTTTTGTGTAATTGCTGTGTGTGTTGTGTCTTTTCAACAGAATATCGCCCGCATCAATGACATCGTGAAGCAGGTGCTCCTCATATTCCCACACTTCTGTCTGGGCAGAGGGCTAATCGACATGGCCAAGAACCAAGCCATGGCCACAATCTACAGTGGATTTGGTGAGATGCTCTTTCTTTTACAAAACTTTTTCTCAGATTGGTAAGAAAAGTTTTAAACCTGGTTACTTGTATACATTTTTAAGAAATATGAAATAAATAATGAAATGACAATTCAGGGTGATAGTAATGTTGTTTTAACAAATTCAGATTTGATAATGTTACATAAATGCAATGTAAATCAAATGTATAAATTTGTTTAGAAAGTGCTCTGCTAATCCGGTTATTTAACTGTTGAACAACATGAAGTCATGTTGTTGAAATTACTATTGGCATGTGCATACAGGGCTATGATTTTAAATAGCATTGGCTAATATACATTGTTATGAGAGTGGAGTGATCAAAATTTTACTGTTGCCATAACAAAATAGCTCTTCAAAACATCTTTCATGGTCAAAAATATAAGAAAACAGAAACCCTTGATTATGTTGTAATGTTTTAATGGAGTTGGATAATTAATTACTTAATAAACTGCTAAAGAAAAAGTATTGTAGCACAGAGGACATTTAAAACAGCAAAAGCTTAGCAAAGTGCTGAACAAACAACAAAACTAAACCTGGCCAAACCTCCTCCTGAACAAAGCCTGATCTGATCAGACCTCAGAAGCTAAACAGGGCCAGGCATGTGCTTGGATGGGAGACCGCTGGGAAAATCAGGTGTCACAGTGGGGTGCCAGTGACAGAAATGAAGTGTTGTGTCCTTAGGCATGACACTTCACCCACATCGCCTAGAGTGAAAGCAGCGTGGGTGCAAGTGTCGGTGATGTTCGTTGGCAGCCTCGCTTCTGTCAGTCTGCCCCAGGGCATCTGTGGCTACAATAGTATCTTACCACCACCAAGTGTGGAGTGAATGAATAATGCATAAAATTGTAACGTTACTTTGAGTGTCTGGAAAGGCATTAATCTGTTATAATTGTTAAAACAGCAGAACAACATAAATGGCATTTACAGTAAAATAAAACAAGCACTTAATTATAACTTTCCATATAATAAATTGTATATATTTTACTTATGTCTCTTTTTCATATGTGAAAAAAAAAAAAAAAACATTCATAGGAAATATAACTTATTTCATCCACTCAGACATGTAAATTGGTGCCATTTTTCTTAAGTAGGAGCAGCTGCTACAAGAGCGTTCACTTGTTTGGTAGTACAAGTGCTCCTTTACCATCTTATTTCTAACTGACACAGAGAGAAACATTTGACCAGTGGCTCCCATTCCATAACACACCTCTCCACCGGGGTTATATTTAGCCCTGGTTAAAGACACTGGAGGTTGAGTAGTCCAATCGAGAGGTGAAGAAGAGGAGCATGAGAGGAAGAGCGGTCTTATCAGCGGAGAGATGAAGCAGGAAATAGTGGTGTGAGGAATCATTTGTGGCAGCAGCAGCGCCCAAGAGAAAAGCAATCACAAGTTAAAATGGCCAACGTGAAGAGCGGGCTATTTACCGGAGAATGAGCGTTCAAAGCGTGTTCGTTTTTTGCTGTCCTGTGAATGCGGAGCTGTCATACTCTTTACTTATGCCTTCATTAGCCAAAACAGACCTTCCATTGCAAGTAAGGAAAGCCAGACACTTCCTCTCATGACACAGGTGATGTCTTGTTTATTCCCTCGCAGACTAAGTGGCGTTCACAGCAGCTTTCCAAAACACATCAAAAAGCTGACAGAAATTTTAGATTCTAGCTTTTATACTTCGCTGACATGAAAGGGACAGACTTCTAGTAAACCGTTTTTGTTTGGGTACTACTGGTTATTATAAATCCACATCTGAGAACCGTAGATATAGACTTAATAGAGCATTTTAGCGTGTATAAAAGAGCGTCTGTTTACTAAAGAATGATAACAGTCAGAACCCAAACAAATAACATTACGGCTGTGAAAGTGGAATGAACGTTTATGCTAATTTAAGAATAATTAAAATGGTTTTGCTGTCAAGTTGATGAGCAGAAAGAGAAGTGATTGTATCAATATTTATTCATTTTTATAATTTGTGTATCTTATTTTCTTTTGGCTTTTCATATGCTTATTTCCTTTTAGCTTTTAATATGCTTCCTATTGGGACTAGCATGATTTTAGTTTGATCTTTCTACATTAATAGAGATTTGGGACCAGTGAAGAAACATACTGGACTGTGAACCCTTCTGGCTGGATTGTCCCTATTAGCATTGGCAACAGAGGCTTTTTGATTTGTGTCACTTAATTTTTACTGTCATACAAAATACATGTGCGGCATCCGCCTCTATTTACAGGTTTTTTAACAAGAATTCTCAAAACACAGCTAGCTAGCATTAACTTGATTCATCAGCCGGTTTCACTTTGTGGAAACCGTCTGACCTCGCAGCATTAGGATTCGTTCGCTCGATGGTAGGCGGGTACTTTTTTATTTAACCAATTGCTCCTATTTGGTCGTAACGTATGTAATGCGCTGCTAACGGGGCTAACTGGTATATTAAGCTTTTCCCAAATTCCGTAGAAAGAAGGGCAATAGCGTCTTTTCCCTTGATAAAATTCACCAAACATTCTCTTTATTCTGGCTTTAAATCCTCGATCTCAGGTATCGTTGCCAGCACAGAATGTATGGCTCTTTGCTGATTGGCTGGTGCCTGAACTTGCACTTCCAGGGTTTTTTACGAACTGTCTAGTGTATTCCGATTCATGACCTAGTCGCTGGAGAGAAATTAAACTGAGTGGAGGCACTAGTTGGCACCAGCCTGGCTAAGATAGCATAGCTATTATGCAAAATCGACTTTTTAGAGATTTTAACCATGTTATAGTTGTTTATCCTAAACATTGACTCATCAAAACGTATACATGTTTCAGTAATCTTTAATCGCTTACATTAGAGACACCATCTTACACATCAACCCCTGTGTTCACTGCCCATGTTACTCGCTCAGTGCTCTCTACTTCGGTTTCCAGTTTTATTTTTTTAATTGATGACATATGAAGGATTTGTCAGCGTCACGTAGTTATTTTGGTACAAATGAAAAAAAAAAATCTGCTGCTCGCTGACGTCATGTGCTACTTTATATCAAAGATGCCTAGTCTTTGTTCTGATGACGTTTCCAGTGGTGTGAGCTTCCATTGGGCACTGCATTTTTAAAAGGCAAGAGTCAGTAAATAAGTCATTTCAAATTAATATTGCAATAAAGAATGTGCAAAATATAACATAATGCTTCATGGGTGTCATACATTACAGCTATATAGCAGACACGCACAGTAGGTCGTCTTTAATGACTGCAGATCATAGAGAGGCTCAGAAAATTGTAAACAACCCCACGCAGACCCAACAGCAATATACACTCAGTCTCATTTAAGTAGTTACTAAGCTTGAATCGTTCTTAGTAATATTTATTAAGGTTCTTCAAATTGTAACTATTTTAAAACTTCTCCTATATCTAACACTAAAGTATACCTTACATATATGATATTAACCTTGTTGTTTTTGTATTGTAGGAGAGGACCGGTTCCAAGACCCACTGGGCTGGGACATGGTGGGCAAAAACCTATGTGCTATGACTGTCCAGGGAATCGTCATGTTTGGCGTCACCATCCTCATCCAGTATAAATTCTTCTGCAAACCAAGGTGTCAGAATCTCCTCAAATGTGCACAAAACACTCCTCTGTCAATCCACACTTTCATCTCACTTTAGTCACATCCTCCTTTGATGCACCATTATTCACTGACTCCTTTGATTTGTATTCGTTTATTCTCTCTCCCATCTGTTTTTTCAGCGCTGGGTAGAGATATCCCTTCCCATTTGTCACCATTTAAATTGGTAATATACTGTAGAGACATTTCATATAAAACATCTGCTTGTGTTTGCCAAACGATATCCCAGTTTGGGCGTTTTTGTTGTTTACTCACTGCAGGTTGCTATGACTACTAATGCCCAAAGCTCTTGCTACTTATGAAAATTGCGAAGATGCCTGGCCCCGGCTCTAAACTTTAACCATTATAATTTGTAATGTGGTGTGTGGTTCATTCAAATGAAAGGGTGGTGCTGGCATATTGACTTTAACTGGAAGATATTATGTAAAATCAACTTTTATGATCTTTTGACCATGTTAAAACGGTATTCCCACATCGTTAACTTAATCTGAGTTATAGTTTGATTGATTCATGCATGTTTGAGTATCCTGTATTGCACAGAAAATGTCTGCTTTCACCTTCCCCCTATCTAAATCCTCTGCACTTACTTACAATTATTGGAGAAAAAAAAAAAAATCAGACTTCAGGTCATGCATATAGGATTCAAAAATGTCACTTTTCAGGCCATTTTTCAACAATAAAAATAAGTAATTGAAAATCTACAGCAGTGAAAGGTTTGTCAATTTTGCAGTTTTGAACAAGACGTCAATTGACCTGTTTCTAATCGTAGGCCATGTTGGATATTGCTTTTTACAATGAATAAATTAAATAATGATCTTTTTATGTTTTAGTTCCATATGTAATGCCCTTAAAAACTTAATATGTCTTCTTTAACAGGCTTATGAAGTGGAAATCTGTATCGGATGAGGAAGAGGATATAGATGTTGCAAAAGAGAGAGAAAGAGTTCACAGTGGAAAAGCGCACAATGATCTGTTGAGGATCTGTGACTTGACCAAGGTAATGTGGCCTTCTTGACTATCTCCCATTACATTGCATTTTGCTGTTCTGTTTGCCTATTTCACTGTACTGGACTCTTTTGTTAGTTATTTTAACATTCAGGTCACAATTTCTTGCTAGAAAAGTTTGGGAATTGCTGGAAGGATGTGTAAGCTTCAGTTATTGTGGAGTCTCAAGGCCACTGTACCAAGTTTGAAACATTTGTGTTATTGTACAGCAGGAGAAAAGATGCTGCAGAAACAAGGATGATATTAAAGGCTGCAACTATTAATCCAGATTATTGTAGCTAATTGACTAATAAGATAATGCTTGACTTGTCAGATACTAGAATAATCATTAGTTTTCCTAAATTAAACTATGTAAATTTTCTGGCAATGTGTCCTCCACCTGTTTGTCTCCATGAAGATAAGAGAAAAAATGTTCTACAGTATAGAGTAACATTTATCTATCCCCATGAAGACAAGTAGACAAAACCACCACGTCAAGTTATAGCTCAGGTCTGTGGAGAGCAGACCCCACACACAGTAAGACTGCATGTTTGTCAAGTTTTTTCTTTTTCTTAGTTTTTTCATCAGCCGGTTTTACTTTGTGGAAACCGTCTGACCTTGCAGCATTAGGATTTGTTTGCTCGACGGTAGGTCGGTACTTTTTAAATTTAACCAATCGCTATCGATTTGGTCGTGACGTATGTAATGCGTCACTAACGGGCTAACTGGTATATTAAGCTTTTCCCAAATCCTTTAGGAAAAAGGGCAATAACGTCTTTCCCCTTGATAAAATTCACCAAACATTCTCTTTGTTCCGGCTTTAAATCCTCGATCTCGGGAATCATTGCCAACACAGGATGTATGGCTCTTTGCTGATTGGCTGGTGCCCGGACTCGCAAACCGTCTAGTGTAATTCGATTCCTGACCTAGTTGCTGGAGAGAAATGAAATTGAGCAGAGGCACTAGGTGGCGCCAGCCTGGCTAGTTTTCCTCATCTCCTTGGAAACAAGCAAGTGGCATACTGTCCTGAAGAAAAATTGTATAGTTCACCTTTAAGAATATAAAAAATTTAGCTACAAGTTAAGTGTGTCTTTGTATAGATTTATTTGTTGGGACTAATTGCCCAGAAAAGTCCAGGTTGCTAGCTGCAGATTACACCGTTCGCTCTAATGACAAATCACCCAATTGAAACGACTGTGCATTGTTGTTGCATGGGTGCTCCTGGCTGCTCTGGCCCTCTCCTCTTTACGGTGGGTGATTGGGGTGAGCTGCACCGCTGACTCTCAGATGAATGCTGGGTCTGTGGGCAGATGTTGTGGCTCTGCGGGAGGCCGACAGCAGGAAGTGTCACTGCAGCCGCCCGTGTTAGCGCCATCTGCTGCCCTCCCCCAGCACTCGCGCTCTTAACACTTCATCTCTCACTTGTTGCTCACTAACTCTGGGTAATTACTGAAAGACTGCTGGGCCAGACAGCTGGGTTAGAAATGCATTAGCGGGATTCCATTAGTGAAGATGATACAATGACATCATTGTTAGATGCTAGGGGTGGGAGCAGACAGGATTTTCACAAAATACAAATTGTACAAAATACACAAAATACAAAATACATAATGAGATTTTGAAATTTACAATAATCAGATCAATTCACAATTTGGTCTCAATTTTCTAATTTCTTAAGTGACAGATAAATAAGTTTAATGACATATTGTAGAATACTCTAGGTCAGGGGTGGGCAATTATTTTTGTCCATGGGGCCACATGAGAAACAGAAAATATCGTGGAGGGCCAGGCCAAAATGCTTAACTTAATTCTAAATAATGTGAAATGATTTTTTTATGAAAAGCAGTAAATAGCATTATTTTGACAAGCTGGTAAAAAAAAAAAAACACCCTTAAAATAAAAGCAATGCAGCTTTAGTTCATGCATGAGACAAAATTATAAAATATGTTTATTTTGTAATTCCAAAGTAGCTTAAACGGGCTGGTCAGAGCCAACCAAAGGGCCATATGTGGCTCAGGAGCTGTGCAATGCCCAGGTCTGTTCTAAGTGAAGTAAAATATCCATGAAGATGCATCCGCCTCCACCAAAAAGTTCCATAGTGCACCTTTAATTTGTCTTTATGATAATGTAATCACCCCACAGTAATATGATGTAAAAAGACATAACAGTGAAATAGAATGCTCTTGCTTAAACACAGATCTGCTCCAGTGAATAGCAGCACAATAGGAGCTCCTCAGTGCTCACTCATGGCAGACTCTATATCTCTGTAATGAGACACAGCGGCCCATCATGCCTCTGCAGCAGAAGGGAGCTTTCCTACAGTGCCCTCATTGACTCCCTCCACAGCTGTGCCCCATCCGCTCCACGGGCACACACAACAAATTGATCAATGGCTAGTGCAGCTCCGGTGGCCACAGTCTGGTCGTAAATCTGCAGTCACGCCTCTGAAGCGATCGACAGGGCATCAATCACTTGTCACATCTGAGCTCCTCCCACTCCTCGGCCAACAGGAGCGCACCTGCCAGTCTCCTCCACTTAGCCGCAGTGTTAGCGTAGTGTGGTAATCGATGGAGAAGTTTGACTGGCTAAGAGCATCTGTGAACCCCTGCTGTCAGCTTTTCTGATCTTACTCTGCTGGGTTTCAAGTTTGGACTGAAAGTGTGTGGGCTGCTTGTTGGTGGTGGGTTAACATCAAAAGTTTTGAATTTCTGTAAAACTTTGAATTTTGCCAGAGAACAAGTACGTACTTTTTGGTGACTCAATAGAAGTTTCAAAATGGGCATCACAAGGTCTAGAGAAAAAATCTAATCTAATCCTTTAATTAAGTTAATAAAATGTCCTCTGTAAACAACTAAATACGACATATATATTTTTATTATGATATATTTTATTATTGGACTACTACAAACATAGAAAGAAAAGTTCATATTTCAGTCTTCTATCAGATGTTGACACCCCTGGAGTTGTTTACTGTGCACTCTGCACTATGCACTACTTTTAAACATATATTGTAAATCACAAAAATCCCAATTCCACGTTTTTGCAAACTTGGGCAGCCATAATTTAAATCCAAAATGTCTGTAAAACTTGAGAAAACTTTGCCTTTTTAGCATCATTACAACATGGCTTGCAACCAGAAACAGAAATGACCATACGTATTTGTCAACACAAGATTGCCATAAAAACATTTGGGATCTTATTTATTTTCACATCATATTTAGCCACTCACAATCACCAGATCAAAGCCAGCTCTATCTATATTTTAGGGTTGCAAATGTAGATGTTTCTCAGTTGTCTCCTCTGATCAAATATGGGCCTTGCTTTTCATGACAGATGCTGCACCCTCACTAGTCAGAGGGGAGTTACACTTTAATTGCCTTCCTCTATGCATGTATATGGAGCTTTGATGTAGCGTTAGCAGGGAAAGCTATCACTAAAAACCTTATGCATAATACAAGTTGAAGTACTGAGCGGAGCTGTCAAAAGGCACAGAAAGAATGACGCATCTCTGCTTTTATCTGAGCCTTCTATTGTGTCAACTCATCGCCATAAATGTATCGTTATTGTTTGTAAGGCTTCAAGTGGCACCTCTAAATTTATGTTGTTGGATTGTGTGGATGCTCAAGATTATAGCTCACTCAAAGTGTCTTAGTACAATGCACAGAAGTTACAGACCGGTTATAAAATGTCACTATATGCCAACACTATGGTTATTACAACCTACTTATTGGTAGGTAATTACTAGGTACATACTGTGGTACTTACCATGTACTTCCAGTGGTAATTAGAGCTGCCACGGTTAGGGAATTTCTCCTGCGTTGCGGTATAGCAGCTCAACGGGGCGGTATGTGATGATATCGCACCCCTCCCCCACCCCACATCCTCCAGAGTTATAATATTTCTAGCGGCACTGAAAACTCTGGCCAGTGATGCGCTTGTTGCGCAGATGCATATGTACCTTGGTTGTTGCGCAGATATAGCATGTGTAGCGTGGGAGAAGTAACATTCGGCTTTGGAACAAGTGCTGTTGCATCTCTCCAGCTCACTGTGGCAGCTCCAGTCAGAGTCCTGCACCAGCTCTGGTACCCGAGGACTTAAGAGAGAGAGCCCCTAGCACGAGCACGCGGAGCAGGTGTCTGCAAACCGCGATCAGACAACGGCCACACTTAACTCTTTTCGCCTGCGGTCACCAGATGGTCTACGTGGGAGCACCTTAGTCCTGGGTTAGTCCTGGGATATCATCGGCACGGGCGGTAACAGGTGGAATGTTAACGGGTCCTGGCGGTTGCGGGTCTCTAAAAATGGACCCGTGCAGCACTCTGGGTTGGTTCACATTGGTCACGTGCGGTGATCGTGGTGGTGATCAGCGAAGACCTGTGAAGCCATGACGTCTCAACTCAAGCATCTGTCTGGGTCCCTTTTGTGGTACAGCACAACAGTAAACAAAATGGTCAAGATGGATGTAGACGAAACCATACGTTCTGTGTTGGCAACAATTCCCGAGATTGAGGATTTAAAGCCAGAACAAAGAGAATGTTTGGTGAATTTTATCAAGAGGAAAGACGTTATTGCCCTTCTTTCTACGGGATTTGGCACATTACATCCGTCATGACCAAATAGCAGCAATTGGTCATTGAGCGAACAAATCCTGATGCTGCGAGATCAGACGGTTTCCACAAAGTGAAGCCGGCTGATGAATCAGGCTAATTTACAAGTGCTAAGCTGAGTTACTTCTTGTGGTTATTACTGGATACTTTTTGTTGTACATTCAACAGTAAATACTACAGTCATTCTGAAGTACAGTGTAATACATATGTTTTTAATATTGTAATAGAAACTTAAACCTGTAACTTTTTGGCAGGAATGACCACCATAAGCATGTCAAGTATCTAGAAACTCCTGGTTGGTGCATCAATGATCTAGTGTTAATTTGAGTTCTTAACAGAAAGTAGTGGGTTAAAAATCTTCCTACCATTTTACAAATCCTAGTCTGCAATGTTCCTGTTTCTGTCATGAAAAGACTACAGTGTGAAGTTTTCAAATGTTAAAAAGCAAGTGTCTAACTCATAACATACACTTCTGTCCTTGGAATTTGAATGTGAAACATCTCAACTGTCACAATCTGCCACGCCAACAAAGGCCTTGGCTCGTCTCATGGCTCAACAACAGAGCGCTGCCTCCGAACTGTCATCAAACTCTGCACTGATATATTTTAAATCATAGCTGTTCACTTTTTTGGAACATTTTCTTGGACTATAGGGTTTCTCAGGATTCAGAGAGGAGAGCTGATGTTTATGGATGAGGGTGGCCAGCGGGGGAGGATGCAGACGAAGTATAGGGAAGACTGCAAGGAGGGATGGGGCCTGCATTACATATACACCTTTCTACTTGTGTAATGGAGGAAGTGTAGGAGAAGTTGCATCTGCTCTATGGGGGTTTTATAGTGGGCTACAACTCCACTTTCTTACTAGTAAAGCCAAAACGATATTAGATTTTAAAGGTAGCAATGACAAGAGATGGGAACATTTGCTTCTGTGACCATAAATAAAATGAACAAAATAGGAAAAGTCTGGTAAAGTGTTCATCAGAAAAAAAGCCTTATCCATGGGTTTCAGAGTGATGAAATGTGGGACTGTTACCATAGCAACATATAATTCTCTACAAAATATTATTTTGTATGGTCAAATGTCCTTAAAATGGTTACCATGCCAGCCAGAACCACACTGTTTGACAAAACTTTACAAAGACGAGAGGATCTGGAGCTGTATCATGTCTTAGTGATTTCAGAGGGCGTGATTGACAGGCGAATTAACCAATCAGAGAGAGGCATGCTTGTTTGCATCAAAAATAAACATAGCTGCTTACATGCAAAAAAGGAAAAAAAATAGGAAATTCACTTTTGTTTAGGTATTGCTAGGAATCCTCAAATGTGCTATATTTAAAGAAAGTCCTGTTGTCCTTTTAACTATTAAGAAACTTGCCATACTCCAGAGAAACAATATTTCACTTTTATTTATAGATATTGTACCTTACACAAAAATAAAGATTTTCAAAACAGACACATAATATAATCACAATTTTAGAATAAAAGTTACATTGAAGTAACATGCAAGCTATAGTTCCATGTGAACTAGATCATGCTTTACAGTGCTGATCAAGTGTCGGTGTTTTATGGTTGTCACTTCAGATGATTTTAAACACACTGTAGTCTCAGAAGCACAAAGGTGACATTTTAATCAAGCTGTTTTTAGCTTTTTAGAAGAAAATTCTTCATTGACCATATGTTCTGTCTGGCTTAAATATTTAATAGCCAAAGAACATCTTTTTAACCACAAATAAAGACCTCCCCAGATAAATTTTCAAAACACACTTGGACAGAAGGTCAAGGTTACGGTGTGCCATATTGCAATTAAAATGATGTTTTGAAATGTCACCAAAGTACATCAGCAAAGTCTATTTTTTTATTTAAGCAGTTGAAATGAGGGTTGACGGAGATAGAAACTGCAGTGTAATTGGTGTAATCGTGTACAACAATGGTATTAAATTGAAGTAGTTGCTAGTTGTACCACGCGCAGTAGCTGTAGTGGTAGCAGCAATAGTAGTAGACAGTAATGTTGTAATAATATAGAAATGTTTTATTTGAACTACTTTCTTTGGTACCACTTAATAACTAAATCTTAATTACCCTTAGTAAAGCATGAACAAGACTTATGTCACAATGAAAAACTAGTTTATTAACAAATCAAGCGTTATGGTTAGGAGTTTGTTTTAATATAAAAAAAAAATTCACTATGGTTCAAAGAGGCTGTTCCTGATTTTCACTTAAATCGGAAAACAAACATTAATTCATTTTAAATGTTCTGCTGTAGTTCTTGAAAAAGTTACTTCTCACTTACCTTTTGCATTCCAAGCATTCTAATTATTAATCGCAATGAGTTTATAAATAATTTTTGCAGCTGGGCAAAGTGGAGCAGATTTTTGCCATGACCATTAAGCTAACAACAACTCGCACGCAAACAAATATTTCCTGATTATCAGACAATTAAACTCTTGCTTATTAGCCGCAGACAACATGCAGCAGACTATTTTGACCTCAAGAGCTGCTTATATAATATACTGGGGGAAAATCAGATAAAGGGCTTTTAAGTTTGTGTTATTGTTCTATTAAAAGTGAAGTCCTTATAAGTGTTACCATTTTCTCCAGGGATTTTTTAATACTCATTGATAATTCTACTTCTGAAGGATACCACGGCTACAGACATGTTCAAAGTCATGGGCAGATTCCCTCTGGATGTCGCCACATATATCGTCACCTGTCCGTCTGTCTTCCCTGTGGAAATACCTGTGTTTTTTTCACCTTCTCCCATCTGGTGCCCTCTAAATGCTGCAAATGATCCCTTCTTGTTAAAATCCACCCTCCCCTGTTCCCACCTGCTCGTCACCCCCACGGCTTTGGTCTATCGCTCCATATTTTCACATGCCATCTTCTTATCTGCTAAATCTTTACCCCCTCCTCTCTCTGTCTCCATTCTCTCTCGCTAACTATCTATCTGTTTGTCTCTCTTATATTGTGTCTTCTAGATCCTTTCTTTCCCTCTCTATTTCTGGCACCAGTGGCTAAACGTTCATCGTGTCCTTCGGCATGACACTTCACCCACATTGCGTAGACTGAATGTGGTGTGTATATCGTTGTGGACACAGATTGGCCGTCAGATTGTGTTGGGCAGTTGTGGCTATCGGTGTCTTACCACAGCCAAGTATGACATTCGTGAACAATGCAGAAAATTGTGGAAAAAAGTGTCTTCGAGCATCTGGAAAGGTGCTTTAAAACTGTTATTGTCTGTATTTCTTGCTCCTTTCTGACCTTACATTCTCTCTCTCGTTTTGTGTGCAGCGTATCTGTGTGTGTGTCTCTCTCTCCTCCTTCCTCTCTTTTTTTCTTATTTCATTTAATAGTAAAGGGACATTTTAATGAATATTTAAAATAAGTATGTAAATGTAAATATGTAAAGATTATAGCCAACGTACGTCCATCTTCACACCCTCTGCAGGTTGATGTCAAACAGTGCAAGGAAAAACAAAAGCGGATGTAACTCACCAGCACACTCACTATACATACTGTACATGCATAAGAACAGTTGAAGTTAAATCCTTTAATATTAAAATGCATGCACACTTTGTTTAACATAGTGACATATTTGACCCTCAAACAACCATTGTTTTAAAACGTTAGAGATGTATTATTATTACCATTTGTCCATTCTCTCTCTCCTTTTCTCTCTCTCCTCCTTCTTCCTCACTTATTTCTCTGTCCTTCCTCTCTCACTCTCCCTCCTCTTGTTCACTGATTCCTTTTCTTCTCTGTTCTCACCAGGTGTACCATGGGAAGAGCACTCCTGCTGTGGATAGGCTCTGTGTGGGCGTACCTGCTGCTGAGGTGAGCCTCGTCGCACCACAGTCTATTCAAACTCCCCAAACCTTTTTATTATTTGTCATTGTCAAGTTTCAAATGTTTCTGAAAATATTTACAAAAATATTTAGTGTTATTTTGTAAAAACATTGTTGTTCAGACAAGTACCCAAAACTCTGGGTGTTTTTGGTATATTTGTAAGTTTGGTAACAGAAGTCCAGAACTCTGTTAGTATGATCCCTGCTTACTTTCTGGATGAGTAGAAATGATCTTTCAATTGATAATTAGTATTAGTAAAGCAACTAATTACTTTTAATGTATTGTAAGTCATATAATGGGCTTGAACCATTGAGACCAACACATGATCACAGAGATGTCAAACGCTAATTATTCTCATTGGCATAACTCCACGTCTGGATGGTTACTATGTAAATAATATATAACTTGCTGTCATATAATACATGTAACACTATGAAATGACTATAGAAATGGATTATAGATGTCACACATAGTTGGGGGCAGCTAAAATGAATATTGTTCAAATGCAATTTTTTGTTGTAATACAGTAAGTTCTTAAGTCTAGACAGTAGAAATGTAACAATAACCGAAATATTGTGTCTCACAATAATATCATGGGCTGTCACAATATATCGAATTACGAGTTCCTTTGCTTAAATGCATGGTTTTACAGTATCAACAGCTTATAAACATATGGAACTACATATCCCATGATTCATTCCAGCGCAAACAACATGAAGAAATATATTTTTCACTTGAATTTTTGGGATTATGATGGAACTAAGGTAGTTTAAAAGCAAAATAGTGTCCTATCTACAATTATATCAGCCCCTCAAAATATCTGAATAAATATTGTACCATGAGATGCATATCATGATAATATCATACTGAGAGATTTGGATATCATTGCATCCCTACTAGACAGTAATAAAAATTATTAGGTTCAACATATGTGAGTTTATCTATGGGATATTTCATGGCGCAGTACAATGTAATCAGTAGGGAAAACTGCATCTTGCCCCCCATCTTAGAGTATGATATAATCACATTATAGAAACTGAAAACCACCAATAAAAGGTACTGTAAAAAAAACAAAAAACAGGTCTACATCAGCACAAACTGCAGGCTGCGCTCAAACTACCAGGACCTAACCGTGAAATTCACATTACAGTCTCCACCATTGCATAACAAAAAAGCTGTTCTTCTTCTTTCTATGTTAACCTGGCTATTCTTCGCTGTAATATTCCTACCAAGCCCCCAGCAACATGATCTATAAGAACAAGAAAATGTCGAGTTGTGGGGAAAAAAACGCCCTCGCCATTCAGAAGCATTAGTGTTGCTTCGATCTCCTGTCAAGTTTAAGACATCCAAGGTGCATGTCCCACAGAGCGGCACCGCAAATGTGATTTAAAACATAATCTGCGGCGCTGACAGAAGACCGCACCCGATCAGCTTTGTGCTAGTATCCCTCCTGCCCAACGCTGTTTACCCAAAGCCCCGAGTAAATGCCAGAGAAGACACACATTGCATTTCCATTCATTTACATGGAACGCAGCCTCCTCCTGCATATCCCGGTCACAAGCAGGCAGGGATCAATGAATGACAGCAATCAAATATTTATTTCAGAGCCAGTGCACCTGAGCTGGGAGGTCACATGACTGCAAGGGGCTCAGCGAAGAGAGAGAGAGAGAGAAGAACACAATGTTGTTTGTTTGTTCGACTTTACACAAGAAATGCTGCAGGGAGCAGTCAGGGCTGAGAAGTGTTTGCAGCGCGGTGACTGCTGTGTTGGTTTAGAGCTGTTTTTGTGTACAAGAACAATATCAGCAAGTTTATTCATCGATGTTTATTCATTGATGAAGAAAGGCAAACTTGCGGGAGTGGTAGAATTAGGAGTAGCCCGTGATTGCTGTTGGAGAGATTGTCACGAAACTCAAAATTTGAAATGGTCTGAGGCCAGATTAGTTCTAATGTAATCTTGGTTTGGTCCAGATTTAGTACTTTTCAAGTCCGGTTTTAGTTCTTTGTACTGTTTGAATAGTCGTAATTAGCAAATCACAAAGACTGCAATGATTTAAAGGTCCTATTTTACGCAAATTGGCTCTTTAAGCCTTTGAATGTTGTTACCTCATCAAAGACATTCCGAGTTTTGCTTTAGTAATCCTTAATTATTAGTCTGTTTTCTTCTCCAAGGCTCAAAATGCTTTTCAACTTAACATCTAATTTTACCTTTAGAACAGCAAAAATGGGAAAATCCAGTGGTGAAATTATTCAAATGATTCTAGTGAAAGTGTATGGAGTTTAATAACACAGTGGAACACTTCCTGTATCACCACATGACATCACAATGTAGAACAGAGTGTTTTCTGTTTAAAAGCAGAACTCAGTCTAGATTTGTGTGTTAAATGTGTGAATGAAACAGAACACAACTCCAGGTATGTTTTTGATGAGGAAACAACATTATTACATAGATCAGTTAATTAAAACTTAAGTCCTTTTAAGTAAAATAAATTCCTCAGAAAACTTCTATGTCTTCTTATTCTGTCCTGAAATGCAAGGGATTTTTGAATTAGTTTAGCAGTTCATATTTAACTCTTCTCCTAACGTGTTTAAATTGCTCACTCTGAATGGAAGTCTACTATCCAAGTATAAATTGCTGTTTTATTCCGTACTTGTCAAGAAAATCAAATTTAGATATTTTTTCGAAATTATTTAGAGCCTAAACTTAGACAGAAACACACAAAAAAATTATTTATTCTTTAATTGTAATAGGAAGCCTGTATAACCACTAAAACTAGCCAATACACAATTTAAGCACCAGTGTGAAATAGTCTGTTTTGACATTTCGAAAGAAAATGATAAAGGTTGTGAAGTTAGATGGCCAGCTATAGTTTATTTTGAAGATTTTTTTCCACACAAACCAAACGAAACACATAACCATTACTTTTCATCACATCTCCGTGTCTCTGTTCAGTCTCCAGGTGCCCGCCTTGTATTAAAACTAATTCCTTTTTTGTGTTTGTCAGTGTTTCGGGTTGTTGGGAATCAATGGAGCCGGCAAAACCACCACATTCAAGATGCTGACAGGAGACATTCCGATCACCGCTGGCGAGGCTTTCCTAAACGGATACAGGTGAGCGGCTAACTCCCAATAGAGCACCCTGTAACTCATCATAATTAGCCACCCAAGATGGCCGACCTGATGGGGCTGCTTTGTCCCAGCTACACTGCAATCCCTATCTCTCCCCTACCCTACTGTGTACGTTCAAGTATTTTCCATATTTTCTTCTCCTGTCTCTTACTGTTTCAACTTTATTTCTGTGATGTCTTCTTACAAACTCAGAAAGCTAGTGTTTCTTGTAGCACATATCCCATTCCTTTTCACATCTTCGCCCTGTACCTTACGTCTTTTTTTCCCCCTCTCAGCCTTACAAAAATCAGTCAAAAGAAACCTTCGTACCTGCCAAAAAAAAAAAAAAAAAAAAAAAAAACTTTGACACTAGCAATATAAGAACTTGTTGGAAAGCCAGGCATCCACATCCTTATTTTTAGGAACAAATTCTCTCTCTGTCTCTCTTTGCATCTCTATGCGTCTGTGATAGCTAGCAGTTAGTTTTTAGCACAGTTGGTCTTTTGTATATGTTGTAATTGTTTTTATGTTACACAGAAGATCGGATCAAAACAGAGCAATGGCTAAGCGCTGTAATGTTAATTTTGATTAATGTGACTAGGTGAGATTCAAGGAAACTTGGAAACCAGAACCTTAAGTCAAATCGGAATATAAAAAGAAAAAAAAAGCGTATGTTAAAAACAAACATCCACTGTCCTCAACTCCTTACACTTTATCTTTCAGTGAAAGTTTGTTGGAAGTACAACAATTTATAGTACAGGTGCTACATTCCCAACATAATGTTAGCCTTTAAATGTTCCATAGTACGGCATTGAAATTACCTCAATTACAGTATAGAGTTTTTATTGCTCTAAAATTTGTGATGTAACGACATCAAAGTCAATATCAAATTTCTGTATCATAACAATGAATTTAAGCAAAGCCACTTGTAATTGTATTTATACCGTCTATGGACTTGTCCAAAAATCGCCAAATTCTGGTTAGGTATTGCATTTATATATGCATATGAATCTTACCCATGGAAAGAGTCAGTGCAAAATTGAAAGGTAATGACGATTTATTTATTGAGTCGTGGTAGCCTCTGCTTGACTACTTACCCGGTGATGTCTGTATCACTATACAGAAAGGTACAGGCTCAGTGCTATGGCGGGACATTGGTTTGCCTGTTTGGCCAGGTCAGTGTGTTTTGCTTAATTGGGTAATGTTTATATAATGAGGAAAACTAAAATATGTGCTCAGACTGCTCTGTGTTTTGTGTTAGTGTTGAAAACTTAATTTTTTTTTGTTATATAATTCAATATATTATGATGCCTCACAATATTATTGCCAGACCTTTGACCGTACAGTATCACAGTATTTCACTTATCGTCGTTACACCCCTATCTAAAATTCCTTGAAAACATGCCTTCTTACTGTGAGGGGACTCCTCTCCACAGATCTGATCTGCAACTGGGCCTGGTGATGTCAGCTGCTTGTCACCATGGAGAAAGAAAAAACATTGTTTAATGCTCTACTGTAGCACATTCTCAGTTTTGATGACAAGCTGTAGTACCTTTCCTTTGTACAGTTAGTAACTCATATATTGTAACTATTTGCCCTTTGTTTTGCAGCATTCGCACGGAGATGAGAAATGTCCACCAGAACTTGGGCTACTGTCCGCAGTTTGATGCTATTAACGACCTTCTCACTGGACAGGAACATTTGGAGTTTTACGCCCGCCTCCGAGGGGTACCTGAAAAAGAAGTTGCCATGGTAACTAAAGTCTGCACTGTTCTTTGTGGGCTTGTTATAGATTACTCCAAATGCACTTTATTTATATAGCACATTTACAAAGAGACAGCAGTTGATGTGCACTGGTTGACATAAAAGATTCTCTTATAAGCTCCGCCAGGCTTTATTACCAAAATAAAAACACAGTAAAATCAAACAAAAACCTTAATAAATAATCAATAACAATAGAATTTGCAGTGAAGGTCCTATATGATTCTATTTTCTTATCTGTTTTATAATGTTTCCTCATCAGAAACAGACCTGGAGTTGTGTTTTGTTTCATTCACACATGTTTAACACACAAACCCTGCATATTTAGGCTGAGTTCTTATTTCAAACAGAAAACTCTCTGTTCCACCATCTTGTGATGTCATGTGATCATACAGGAATGTCCGCTGTGTTTTTAAACTCCATACACCTTCACTTGAATCATTTGGATAAGTTAAGCCCTGGAAATTCTCATCTCTACTGAAGACAAGGTGTAAGGTAGCTGTTAAGTAGAAAACGATCGCTTCTTGGCATCACAAGGTGAAACAGAGGATTTTGACCTTTGGAGATGTAGACAGACTAATAACAAAGGGTTACGCAAACATGTGTGAATGAAACAAAACACACCTCCAGATATGTTTTTTGAGGAGGTAACAATATTATAACATGACTTAAAGGTCACACATGTAATTTTGCATAATACTGGAATGTAGGCTTTAAGGACAAAATAAAGACAATAAAGTAATAATAACTTGGACCACAGCATTGGATGGGTTTCCTCCGGGTGCTCCGGTTTCCCCCATCAACCCAAAACATGCGACATAGGTCTCCAGAACAGTTAATAGTCAAGGTCAGTTAAATACAATCAATCAATGAACCTGCCCAGACTCTTCATCCTTATTGCCTAGTATGAAAGTGGTGTGTGTGTGCGTGAGTGATGGTGGTGGTCGGAGGGACTGTTGGCGCCGATTGGCATGGCAGCCACGCCTCTGTCAGTCTGTCCCAGGGCAGCTGTGGCTACAACAGTAGCTTACCATCACCAGGTATAGAGTGAGTGAATAATATGCTGAATGTAATGCTCTGTAAAGCATCTTTGTGACAAAAATGTCTGTGAAAAGCACTATATAAATAAAGACTTACTTACTTACTAGCATTGTTACAGTGTTAAAAGGATCTTAAAGCTGTGCAACTGTATTCTTGTAAATGAGTACATTATGTTTTCCCTTGATAAATTATATTATGAAAGTTGCACTTGGTGATAATATTACATTGTTGCACACTGTGTTCTTGAAATTATAAACCTTATCCATTATAAACATTGAAAAAAAAGCCACAAGTGTCACTAGCCCAAACAAGTACAATGTGCTTAAGAGCTAGGAGGTAGTTTGATAGATTTAAATTGTACTATTATTTCCTCCTTTCGTTGTTTTCAAGTTGGGTAGTGCAGTGAGATGAGACTAAAAACGGTCCGCAGTTGGGGGCCAATCGAACATAGGGAGCATTCCACTCTCACGAAATTTCATTGCTAGATTTTCCTCCAGTCTCTATTGAAATGCCATCATAACCAGATTGCATATAGGGCAAGTTGATGTATATGTGAGTGATGCGTAACCTCAATGGGAGAAGCCATACATAATGAAAAATGGCCAGTGTTTGTGAAGGCAGCAGCTGTGGGTTGTGTGTCTGCATTATTCACCATGCCCGTTGGTGTGGCCGGCCCTTTCTCCATCTTGCTCCTTTTGTACCCATGGCAACATCAAACCAGGAAGTGGCTGCTGGGACCCAGAGCCCTCAGACCACACCAACGCCAAGGCATTGATCTTCTCGCTGCTGTGCAATGGGACCCACTCGCAGCACTAGCATAACTCTCTGACTGACCATGGATTCTATTGTGATGGAAGGAATGTTGTCCAATTCCACCCTGGTGGAATTGATATTTGCATAATAAAACAAATGGAGAAATGTCTTATTTTCAAGAAGACAGTGTTTGTGTTTAGACCTGAACATCCTGAATAAATTCTTAGCTATGCAGCGATGTGAATGGCTTTGTAGAAAAATTTGAATTCAAGGCTATAGGCAACAGTATTGAAGAGACTGTATTTGATTTTTACAGACTTAGAAATGTGAAAAACAGAATTACTTAATCTTAAATGGTTTGCTGTGTTTTTGGAGTTATTACTCTCTTTCCTAAGACATTCCTTGCATCCTAATAATTTGCCACAGTTTATAAGAGCTTTTAAATAACTTTCTTAAACATCTTTCAGAGGACAGAGCGGAGTTTTGCTGTCATGATAGTAATGATGCTTGGTTCATGAACCATAAAAATGCTTTATAAATGAATGCAGATAGCACACATCAATCTAATTTTATTTATGTATTTATTTGGGGCAAGTAAGAGAATTATATTCTCATACAATGGAACGTGTAACATTAGTGAAATTATAATAGAAATAACCACACACACACAAAAAAAAATCTATGGGTGGATGTGAGGCTGTTGGTATATAAAGAGAAAAGCAGGGGGAGTGTACACAGCCTTGGGGGACCCCAGTGCTAAGGGTCTGAGATCTCTGTGTCCTCATGAAAAGGAAGTTATGGATCCAGTGGCACAGGGTGGTGTAAATGTTTATGTCTAAGGATTTATATAGAAGATTGGCCACTTTTATTCTGTTGAAGTCTGTAAAGTAAAAGTACAGGTACATGGCTGAAAATGTTTTAAGTAAAACAAGTAAAAATGTCTGTAGATATCTTAAGTAAATTGAAAAGTACACAAGAAAAATATAATTTAAAATACAAGTTACATTTGAATGCAATTTTAGTTTAGTCTATTGATACTTTGCAGTGATATCATGCTGGTGGCGTTCTACAGATGTCTGTAGTGGAATGTTCAGCAATGGTGACACAATGCATACATTAGCAAAAACTGTCAAAAAGTTTTAAGATTGTCTGAAAACTCAAGGAAATGACTACTATTATATAATCTTTTATTGCAAACATACTTTGGATATGTTGATATTTTCATAATAAGAGTTATTAATCATGCTTTTTTTTAATTTTTATGATAATGACCAATATTTTATTTTGTTTAAACTTGTTTATTTTATCAGGGACAATGCACAAATACTTTAAATATGTCATGTGCCAAGTTTTAGCAAAAGTATTTTCAAAATTGTGGAAGAAATGCAGATAGACAAGTGGAGTCATTTTAAAATTACATCAACAAGCAGCGGTTAGGCCTATAAAGTTTTGTCATACAAATACACACAGTTGTCACAGCGCAATCAAATGAATGTCATCTCTGTCTGTCACTCCTTTACCAAGGTTGTGTGATTTCTAGTGTGAAAATAGCAGCAGTCAGTTGTTAAGAGCCTATAGTGACGGCAGCTGTCACGCAATGTCCTTGAATAAGGCACAACACAAATACACTGGAGATCAAAGCCGACCATCCATCATGCAAGCACTGTACCACAAGTCTATTATTATCAATGCTATTTGTGTTCACTGTTTATTGTCTTCAAAGGTGGCCGAGTGGGGGATCCGAAAACTGGGACTGGTCAAATACGCCAACAAGCCTGCAGGAACATACAGCGGAGGGAACAAGCGCAAACTGTCCACCGCCATGGCTTTGATCGGATGCCCTCCCGTCATCTTCCTGGTGAGATGCATTGGGCTGTATTAAGTGTAATACTGGATTATTTGGTTAATCAGTTATCATAATTATTCAGGTCACAAAAACAATACAACAATATATATGTTTTTTTACTTACAAATTTAGAAGCAAACTTTTTTTGTTTAATTTAGTTTCAGTTGTATACAAATATTTCATTTTATATAACTTGTTATTGTTGTATGACCAAAACAGGCAGAAGCAAAATGCTTGCCCAATAAATACATCCATTTACATTACATACAAGTTTCCTTTTTGTAGTTGGGTCAGATTATGGTTTATGGCCCAATTGCAACCAATTTCTCTTGGTCTTTGGGAGTTTGGGGTGAGTTGGCCCAGATTACCAAGATTTTCCTTTCTCTATCATCATTATCTCAGTGACAAACATTTTAGAGCCCCCACTCCATTACGCAGGAGTGATAAATATTACACAATCAAAAAAAAGAAAGACTAGTTTGATGATAGTACAATAAAAATCCTCTCCTCCCTGAGGGATTACAAATGCATTAGCTAAAGATTAGAAGCGTGCCTATTTCAGGGTCACCCTCAGGTCATGGTTTAATTCTTTTTAGGAGGAACTAATTTCTTTAGAAAAATGTAAGGCACACAGACCTGTGTTTGCCCATATTAAAGCCCTGTTCATCAGGACTTAAAAGAGAATCCGACAGCCCAGTCTCACTGATGGGAGATTAATGCAGGCATGACTCAGAATTAACTACATCATATGCGTCAAGAAAACGCATCAGTTTGTGAGTCATATTTTGGTTAGACCCAAACATCTGGTCAGTTGATGTATTCAGTAAAATTAGCCCATCCAAACCTGCTACGCTTTGGTACAATGATATGAATCAATATCTCACGTCCTGCTCTATTTTCTAAACTTCACTTATTTAAGATGGATTTGTGGTGCAAGATGAAATAAAGCATTGGCAAACTGATGTGGCCTGCCATCTTTGTTGTTCAGTATTGTAAAGCATAATGTTAGATTTAAAACTACATTTATGCTAATTTTGGTGCTAATCACAATGTCTATAAACCAAACAGGAAGCTGGAGCATTCACCCCTGTACTGGAATAGAACTTGTTTCAATGTAGACCGTTTTCTTTTTATCAAATTGTTCTATGCCCTTAGCACAAGTCTATTTGAGTCTATTCTGTTGTAATACCAATGGCACACTGAAAACCAAATTAGAAAAACAGAATAGCGCTAAAATAGCACTATATCAAATTTTTCCAAAAGTAGCCCATCAAAATTCATTGTCATGGTCCCACTTTAGCGATACTGGGCCAGTCCTCCACTGTCCCCTTTGTGCGGATGCTACAATAGCTCTGGGACTGCACTATTCCGCTTGGCTGTATTTACTGGAGTGCGCCTGGCCTGCTCTCACTCGGAGGCAGTGGGATAATGTGTTGTCACTTTGTGTGTCAGTTTCACTATTGTGTGCTGGCCCGGCTCTGCTTTGGGACACTTTGGTCACCGTGGCGACAGTAGAAAAATACCCCGCGGGATTTGTACGAGTCTGGAGGAGAGGGAGAGGAGTCGGCCAATGGACTGAGTACTGTCATTCTGTAATCGGCCATGGACAGACAGGCCCGGAGGATGAACAGAGAAAGCAAGGCACTGCCCCAAGAGTGTCTGGGCACTCTGTGGAGAATGTGGCTCTTTTCCGGACATATTTGGGGTTTAGCTGAAGGGCCAGTGCATTTTGAATAAGAAAATAAATAGTTCATTACAGCATAGGCAAATTATTTCTGCGCTATTTTGTTTGACATTTAAATATAAGCAAGCAAGCTTACAAATATTTTTCATTTTGTAACAAGGGCTAAACAAACCTGATTACAAGGTTTTATTTAGAGGTGCACTATGTAACTGTTCTGATGAAAGATTACAGGGTGGAACAGAGCATTTAGCTTTAGAGCTGTAGACAGATGAATAATTAATTTTTACTAAAACGTGTGAATGAAACAAAGCACAACTACAAGTAAGTTTTTAAGGAGATAACAGCATCTAACATGGCTTAAAAGAGTCAATTACTTTATTTTCCGAACTATAAGTCGCTCTGGAGTATAAGCTGCACCAGCCAAAAAATGCATAATGAAGAAGACAAACACTTTTTGGGGAAAATGCATTTTATAAAATCAGAGACCAGGAACTGACATTTCATCTTGAAAGGCAAGTTATAGTAATAACAAAAGAATTGAGAACAACAATAGATGTCTGGTATATTAACATAACATATGAACAGTTATTCAGATAACTATAGCATAAACAGCATAACGTGAGTTTACCAAACTCTCAATCTTACTCCAAATCACTAAATCCATTGAATTCTTCATCTGCTTCGTCTTCTGTGTAGCTGTCATCAGACTCAGCATCAGTTTTAGTTAGAATTATTCCGGCTTTTCTGAATCCTGACAGGATGGTTTTGGTTGTCACTGAAGTCCAAGCTTTGTCGATCCATCCACTGACTTCCATGAAAGTTGCATGGTGCACCCTCCCAGTTCCCATGAAGCTGTGTTCTACATCCCCACTTTCCGCCAGTCCCTCACAAGTTTCTCGCTCGCTCCAAACTTTTTTCTGCCTCTCTATTACCGTTTTCAGCTGAATATTTCACTACTTGCAGCAGGACAGCGGCTTTTTCTGCAGGAGGCATGTGCAGTAGAGCCAATTGGTACAAGTGTCATAGTAGTAGCAGATACACGCACACAAGCCTAGAGAAAATTTTAATATTTAAGTTGCACTGGAGTTTAAGTCTCAGAACCACCCAAACCATGAAAAAAAGTGTGACTTATAGTCCAAAAAATATGGTAAGTTTGACCTGAGACATAGAGGAGTAATTGTCACATAAGTGTATTGCTGAACTGGTATGGCTCAACTGCATTTTGTATTTAATAATTTAAATGTTTTATTTTTTTTTTTAACTTGTTTTTCTTCATAATTCCTGTGTTGCTCTATCATGCAATCTTGAAAAATCCACTAATGACCTAAACGTTATCCAACTATATTCCGACAGTCAAACTGAAATAAACAAACCAGTGATGGCAAAACTTAACACTGTTGAAAGCAAAATAAAATCCATCTTATTTATCGTATATTATTTTTGTTTTCCAGGATGAACCAACTACCGGAATGGACCCGAAAGCTCGCCGCTTCCTATGGGACTGCATCTTGAGTGTTATTAAGGAGGGCCGCTCAGTCGTCCTCACTTCCCACAGGTATTTCTTGTTTTTTCAACTGTATTCAAAGAGTCTGAACAAAACAGTGTTGGTGTGAGGGGCACATTTAGTGATTATAATTGATTTGGTTTCCGCTTAAGCTTAGAGGTATTGTTTCCTCTGTGGCAGGTAATATTGGCAGCCAGGAGCTCACTAGCTGCTATAAAGATTTCATGAAGCGCAGGGCATATTGACTGATAGGAGCTTATTCTTTTCTAAAACAGAGCGTGTCGATATGTTTGCTGGAGCCGTTTCATTATCTAGACTTCCTGGAGCACACTGAAGTTGTCTTAAGTTGTGTGCCGGACTATTTCTGAGAGAAAATATATGCCAGTTTTACACAAAGCTCACTACGAGTCAATAGGGAATGTTTAGCAGTTTATTTTTGCCTATTTTATAACCTTACAAAAAGCGGTTGGGTTGACAGTGGTTTATTAGTCATTTCCTACTTTTTCGGAAAGATGACTCACTGTAAAAGTTAGATTTTGGCAGAATTTGGAGAAAAACTTTTTTTTTTTTGGTAATAGAATCTAAAATATACTGGTTTTCACAACAACAATAAATCCAGCTATAACAAGTGAGAATAAGGCAGCTGTATTATCTGTATTATTCATATAAAAGGTGCACTCTGTAACCTTTCTGGTGTAGACTCTGCCACTGCTGATCGCCATGGAAATGTTATTGTTTTGCCTGGAATGTTCCACAGTATGGCATTACATATGTGTATCTCCATGGATACAAGTAGGGTGCATAGAAGATAAGATACATTTTGCAATAAAATATATATAGCAAGATACTTTATGCTAATTTCTGATTTGTTATAAATGTTGTTTCCTCATCAAAAACATACCTTGTTTTGTTTCATTCATACATGTTTAATATGGGTGTAACGATATCCAAGTCTCACGATACAATACCGTCACAGTATGAATCTCTCAATACGATATTAATTGTGATATCGTGGGAATGCTCACAATATGGTCGGGAGGCTCATGATTAGGGATGTAACAATATCCAAATCTCTCGGTATGATATTTTTATAATTTACATCTCATGGTATGATATTTATTGCGATATTTTGTGGAGGCAAACAAAACTGTTAATATGGTACTTTCCTCTTAATATGCCTTGACAAGACTTAATCCAAAGAACTAAGGATTAAAAGTTCTTAGAACTGTTATTTCTTTTTGTAGTCTAGGATGTAGGCTTTTTTTTAGCTCTTGCTGCACCATAACTCTTAACTTAGGCAAAGAGACTTGTAATTCGATATATTGTAAGAGTCCACGATATTATTGTGAGAATTTTGATGATACGATATCACAATATTTCAGTTATAGTTACATTCTTAATGTTTGTGTTTAACACATAAACCCTGCATGTTTAGGCTGAATTATTTTCTCAAACAGAAAACACTTTGTTCCACCTTGTGACGTCGTGTGGTAATACAGGAAATATTGCAGTGTGTTTTTAAACTCCATTCACTTTCACTAGAATCATTTGGATGGTTTCAGCCCTGGAACTGCCCATGTCTACTGAACCAAAGGTAAAAGGAGCTGTTAACTTGAAAACTACCATTTCATGACATCACAAGGTGGAGCAGAGGATTTTGAACTTTGGAGATGTAGACAGACTAATAATGCAAGATTACTCAAACATGTGTGTAAATGAAACAAAACACAGCTCTGAGTATGTTCGTGATGAGAAAACAACATTATAACATGGTTTAACGCTCACAAGTGTCAATAATGTGTAATATAGGACCTTTAAAGCCATAATGTGGAACTTTCCATGTGCAATGGCATCTTAATGACCACAGAACACAAGAAGGTAGCGAACCCCCACCAGAAATATTTCATAGTTCACCTTTACTATTTTTAGACATACAAAGACATTTACTCTCTATGGGCAAAATAATGAATCTTGCTTTAATTTTAACTTAATGTTGGTGTTGAACTATTAGCATCCCTGGCAGACAATCTGAGTCCTCTTATTTCTATTTCTATTATTTTGTATTACCCTTAACCCATGCCTTGAGGGGTAATAAAAATCTTTGTTGTCTGCGCGCCGGCTCTGTGGTCTGTGCTGTGCCCAATCGTCCATGGCATGACCAGGTGGTAGAGTTTTGTTAAGCGGCACTTTCTCCAGGTTTTACAAAGTCATAATCCTAATTGCAACATTCCTCAGAAAGGCTTCACAGGTTTTCCGTCCGGATACAGACGATTCCTGTTTTGGCCCAGGGAAAAAAATGAGATAATAAGAGCTACAGATGGCGCTTCAATCTCTCTGTAATTACCAGATTAGTCGTCCATTTACGGTGTCAAAGTAGACTCATAAAAATAACACTGCTTTAACTGCAAGGGGATGCGTTTTGAGGTACTTAAATCCTCAAACAAAAATTCATAACTCTATTTATATGTCCCTTATAGCATGGAGGAGTGCGAGGCGTTGTGCACCCGTATGGCCATCATGGTAAATGGACAATTCAAGTGCCTAGGAAGCATCCAGCATCTGAAGAACAGGTAAGAGCCCTCCATTTATAAGTGCATAATGCCACAATGACGTATATCCGCTGGACTAATTAAAGATCAAAGAACTCACTGACCCACTATAGGGAATTATGGGATGGCTTCTGTATGTTATATGTTCGAATGTGTACAAGAAATGCAGCTTTTCTGTTTTTCTCCATATGATATTGATGTGCCTGGAATATTTCTAAGAATAGCATTACATTTCTCAATCACCAGTGAGACAGGCAGGTTACAAAACCAGGCCAAGTCAGATCTATAGTGAGGTAAGCATGAAGTGAACACTTGTTATTGAATAGCTGCAGTTTCATGCCGGTGGAACATTTCAGACACTCTCAATTGATAGTTCAGTGAGGTTCATTTGGTCTTCCGATACTTTGTTATTAGGTTATTTTTTTAGACCAAGAGTTGTTTTCATACCAGACAGTTTCGACTGCTTATTAGCAGTCTTCCTCAAAGTGGTCACGTGATGTTGCTGTGACGTGTCGAGGCAGCTGACAGCTACTTGTACGCTCAAAAGATAAAATAGAAGCATAAATGTAATGTCATATTCAAAATACCCTGCATCTCCTGTAATAAAACATAAATTGAGGAAACAGGGAGGGCGTTCAATACATGAAAAAAGGGAACATAGGACAGAATGTGAGAAGGAAACAGCAAAGGCGTGCGCATGAGCAACAAAACACAAAGCAGAACAGGGACAACTCAAAGCAGCCATTTCTGACCACTGTAAAAGAGAGAACCACATTATAGACTGGGACGGAGCAAACATCATTGGGACAGAGGACAACAAACAACGTCACTGGATTAAAGAGGCAATTGAAATATGGCTTAGTTTATTAAAGTTATGAAGAAAATTATAGTTAGGTTTCATTTCTAGAGGGGGTATTATGCAAAATCTAATACAAATCTAATAATCTAATACAAAAGCATGACAGTAAAGGTACAACAGCTTGGCAAACCTGATGTACTCTGAAGGGGTGACTTAGCACAGAGAGCAAAGCGAAGGATGACTGAGAGGATCAAAAATTAACGTGAAACTTATAGAACATGTTACTACTTTATCTTTTACTTTTATTTTTACAATAAAAGATAACATGCTGGTCTCAATGTCTAAAGGGCCATTGAATTCTGTATTTGTTTTGGTGTACATCCCTTTCGAAATGGTACATTATTTTTCTTACAGACACATGGGTCTATAGTAAACTAACTGATTGAGGTCTGGACTATTGGCTTTCCACTACTCTCTCCTTTTACGGCAGACAGTTTACTAGCGTGATAGACAACTTGCCTGTCTCTCTTAGCTTCAAAGATGTCCTCTGTGCTAACGCAATAGATTGATTCAAGTCCATTGATTGTGGTTTGTCTATCAAGTTCAATACATTCAAGTCAGTGTCAGCCTCACTGCCATTTAGTAGGTGCTTCACTGACTTCACTCGGGGTAATTGTACATGATAATACCAAGCATGTCAGACAGAGTAGTTTAGAATGAGGAAATATTTAGAATTTTGTGTGTAATACTAATAATAATTACACAATTTAGATTCTTAACTTCACACTTATCCTGTTTTGAGCTCAGTTTAGTCTTGATGTACAGTAGACTTGCTTTGGTTCTATTCTAGTCCTGGTTTAACCCTGGTTTAGTTCAGGTTTAGTTCCAAAATTAGTCCCAATTTTGATATGGTGTGTGTGTAAATGTGAATGTACAGTTAACTAAAATGTCTTCAACTTTGTGTCTTGCATCTCTTGAGTTCTTTCAAAATCATCCAAACTATGCGGGGATTTTTTAAGTGGGTATACGGGATTCGTGACTGAACCAGGAGGACTAAATCAGGACTAAACCAGGAGTGAACCAGGAGGAATAAACCAGTACTGAATCAGGACTACACTAAGACACTCAGTCCTGGTTCAGTTCTGTTTTAGTCCTGGTTTAGACCTGTTTTATTCCTGGCTTAGTCCTCCTGGTTCAGTCTTGGGATCAGTCCTGGGATCAGTCCTGGTCCCCTCATGTCGCAGGTCACTATAGAACAGTACTGGAGATATCATGAGCCTATGCAGGTTGTTTTCACCATTGCCAGTAGCTGCAGTTTGACATTTAAGTTGTAGCTATTTTATATATATATATATATTTTTTGTTTTTATATCTCACGTTGGGAGAAGTGGACGGACAACGTACCCCCGTGTACCACACCCACTACACCCCTGGTATTAAGGTTATTGAAAAATCTATACCCAGATAATAATAAATACAGAAACTATTAATGAAACTAGATTTGATTTGAGCAGATATTGGTGTTGGAAAAATTACAAAAAATGTACCAAGTTGATCCTTTCTTGATTTCTTGTGTCGATGTGCAGCAGAACTATTAGAAAACCACATGGTTAAATATAGAAACTGCAATCATTTTGTGTTGAAAAGATTATAATGTGCAAAAAAGGGTTCTGTGTTATTGCTGCTTGATTTCCATTCTATAGAAATCAGGTTTGACATTTTAATATCGTGACCCTATTCTTACAGGGCTCTAATAATGGGATTTTTCTCGGTAGGGGATCTACGTTTCCATGTTAATTTTGCTTACCCATCGGATTTCACTTAATGAACCCAGTTAAGGCTTATTTATTAGCTAAAGATTGTCTCGGGGTAATCTCATCAATACAACGCCATTGATCCTTCACTGACAGATCAATTTATAAGGCAAATGTGCTAGCGCAGGCCTACTGGGTCTTAGATTAGCGGCCCCAACGCATCGCCATTACCTCCATTTTCTCTGTACTCCAATAAATTCCGCTTCATCCATCCACATCCTCCCACGTAGCATTAGCCGGACCCCCCTGTGACACCCCGCGCCCTCCCCCCACTCCTCTTCTAATATTCATTGCGTTACATCGGGGCCGATCCATTACCTCAGGTTCTGTGCGCTGACAATATTAGCGCTCCGTTGTGTGATCCAGCGCGCGCTTTTGCACACGAGCAGAATAGACACACATCGACTTGGAGTACGCCGGCGGAGGGAGAGATCAATACGCCCGGGAAGGGGGGTGGGTCCGACCATTTTTCAAGTGCAGCGGGGGGATTAGGGGAAAGGCCCACGATGGCAAAGACGGGGCAGAGGTGTCAAGGGTATTTCCAATCTGAAGTGGTAATATGCTATCATTGAAGGGCAGTGGGAGCACGAGTTCTCAGGCTATGCTCAAAAAATACTGGGCCTGGTAGACACGAGGTAATGGGGTGAAATTTGGTGTTGAAGAAAATGCTTTGGAAAAGAATAAAATCGGATAGTATTATGACTAAAATCAAATCAGGTCTTCCACTTTATCTAAACCAGGACAACCAAGTCAGAGCATTGTTTCATGTTAACTAGACAATAGGTAAAGCTACGCCTAATTTAGGAACACACAGTCACAATCAAATCAAAATCAGTAAATTTTTCGTCTTTTTTCACATATTTAAAGTGGGACTAAACACCTGAACTCTGCCCACAGCCACATTTCAATAGAGCTGCTAAACTGGGGACTACCTGGAGAATTATAGAAAAGAGGGAGGAGGGAGAATGGGCGAGGTGAGGAGAGGAGCAGTGTGATTGGTCTAACAGGTATCCACACTTCAAACTCTGCCCCTGCGGTGTTTCTGATACAAACACCTGGCTGTGATCAGGGCAGTTTAATGTGACGTCACCAATCACTTAAAACTGCAGAGCCCAAAAGAGACAGGACACAGTCAGTTTATACATTTTTTAACACAAAGCTGCAGATATAGTTATAGTAATAACAATAGAATCAAGAACAACAGGCTGTTAACGCAACATATTATCAGTTATTCAGATAACTATAGCATAAACAACATAACATAAGTTTACCAAACTCTCCATCTCACTCCAGATCACTAAATCCATTGAATTCTTCATCCTCGGTGTCACTTCTTAGCAACTCCGCGAGCTCCGGAGGTAAATGGAGCGCCACTTCTTCTACTCAGCATCAGTTCCAGTTAGAATTATTCCACCCTTTCTGGATCACAACAGGATGGTTTTGGTTGTCACTGAAGTCACTTAAATTATAAATTTTCAGTGGTACAGAAGTAAAGTTGCGATCGATTGACATGATACCAGACTTAAGAGATCCATTTACCAGACAGGACAGTGGCTCTTTCTGCAGGACACATGCGCAGTAGAGTGACAGTGGTACAGGAGTAATAGGAGTGGCAGATACTGACACACAAGCCTAGAGCGCCCTCTCAGGCTTGTCAGTGTGAAAATTTTAATATATAATTCACACAGGAGTATAAGTTGCAGGACCAACCAAACCATAAAAAAAGTGTGACTTATAGTCCGAAAAATACGGTACACAGTTTAGTAACAAAAAACTCCACTTAGTCCTGGATATGTTTAAAAAGTGATCCAAAATTTAAAAGGAAAAATTCAAATCTTAATTTGCCATGTTTCTGTTTCGATACTGCTCGAAATTGGACAAACTTAAACAAAATTAGGTCCTCACCAGAACTAACCTACAGGCAAATGAAATTCCTTGACTGAACCAGATGTAAGACTAAAACTCTAAGAGCCCAAACTAAGAGGACTAACCCTAAATTCAAATAAAAATAAGAAAATAGCACCAGCTTCAATAATCATATTTGTTTTGAGGCACTACAGCAATAGACTTTTTTCAGTAAAACCATGTGTATGTGTTGAGATAAGGCGACACCAACATGGAAAAGCAGCGCCGCAGTTTAGTCCCTCCCAGACGTTGGCTAATGTGTGTCGATTACACTCTGTCTGCTGGAAGAGACAACCAGGGCTGTGTAAATAATGCATAAAACCATCGAGGGGGAAGGGGTGTGCAATAGGTGGGAGCAATGGGAGGAAGGGGAGGAACATACAGAGGGTTAAAACGTGTCCTACTTGACTTAACATGCTATCAGGTGAATGGGAACTTCACACGGCGGTAATGTGGAAGCCTGATAAGCTAGCATCAACACATATTCCTCCCTAGCGCTTATT